TTCTTTGCCTCCCTGAGCTAGGAGGCTTTCACGGCTAGCATCTGCCTCTTGAGTCTTCATTGGTAATATTGAATAAATGAGATTTTGTTAAAAATAACAGTGGGGTAAAATGAATATGAGAAAAGACCAAAGAAAAATTAACCAAGGATACAGAATAAGATTTTAGAGGTGTACAGTTTGCTAACCCATTAGTTATTTGGCATTTGGGTTGTGTCATGGTTAGGATTTATTGCTGTGAAAACACACCTTGACCACAGTAACTCTTACAAAAAAAAAAAAAAACAAAAACATTTCATTGGGGCTTGCTTACAATTCAGAGGTTTAGTCCGTTATCATCATGGTAGGAAGCATGACAGTGTGCAGGCAGTGTACATGGTGCTGGAGAGGTAGCTGAGAATTCTACATCTGGATTGGCAGGTAGCATGGTGAGAATGACACTGGGCCTGGCCTGAGCTTTGACACCTCAAAGCTCACCATCAGTGACACACTTTCACCAACAAGGCCGCAACTACTCCAACAAGGCTACACATTTTAATCCTTTCAAATAATGCCACTCTCTATGAGCCTTTGGTGGCTATTTTCATTTGACCCACTACAAGTTACTCTTGTTTTTCTTCCATATTATTAACACTAACATTATTATACAAGTTTCTGCGTGGACTTCCACTGTAATTTCTTTGGGATAGACACCTAGAAGGAGATTGCTAAATGACACATTCACCCTGGATTTAGTTTAAGGAATTGCCAGACTTCTTTTTCAGGTTGCTGAACATTTTATATTTTCACCTGTAGTGGTGAAGGTGTCAGTTTCCCTACATACTCATCAGAGCTTTCTCTTTCTATGGTCCTTTTTGGTTATAGTCACCCCAGATGTGAAGTGGTAACCTGTGGTTTTGATTTGTGATTCTGTAATGAATAAAGGTTCCTACTGGCCATTTACATGTATTCACTTGGGATATACAAAACAACTTTAGAACTTTTGGATACTTAAAATTTCAGATTTTTTTTTGTATTTTTATTATGTCATACTAATACCTTAGACTACAATTCAATATCTCAAGTGTTCATTCTATCCTTCTATCTTCTAAATCTTAGGTAACTTTATTTCTATCACATGTTTCACTAACCCTTGTGTGCTAAACAAAACAAAACTAAATAACAAAATAAACTAAATAAACAATAAAAAAAATTTTTTTGTTGTTTTCTGTTTTTGTTTTGTGAGACAGGGTTTCTTTTTGTAGCCTTGGCTGGCCTGGACTCCCTTTGTAGACCAGGCTGGCCTTGACTCACAGAGATCTGCCTGCCTTGCTGGGGTTAAAGGCATGTGCCACCATGCCCGACAAGAATACAATTCTTATATTTAGTTCCTGTTGTTATAATTTTTATTTCTTTTCTCCTTTCAGGCTCTCACTATGTAGCCTAATTTGGCCCTGAATTTATTTATTCAGGACTGGCCTTGGACGTGCAATCCTCCTTTCCTCAGCCTCCCAAGTGTTGAGTTAAGTTCACTCTTCTGTTATTTTATTGATTTATCTTTACATTTATTTGTTATTTGGAGAAGAGGGTTATAGAGGTCAGAGAATGAGTTGCTGGAGATTGTTCTTTTCTTCTGTCATATGTGTGGGTTTGAGTATTGAACTCAGGCTGTTGGGCTTGGCAGCAAGTGTCTTTATCTGCTGGACCATACTGCTAGCCTTCACTTTTATTTTAAATGGAGTTTGCAGTTGAATTTTAGTTCTTTTGTACTTGATTTTAGCCAAAAGGCTGAAAACCAATTCTGTCCACATGTTGGTTAGTTTACTTACTTATTTTGGAGATTGTGAAACAGTGTCATGGCTGTGAAAGAGTTATGTACATGGTTACATTTGGAGAATATCAGTACCCCCAGCTCTTCCTGCCAGTTCCATTCTCCTGGTCCCACCTGCCTCCCATCAGCAGCCTGTCTAATTACCTCCTGGTTTATTTTTATTGTGTTTATTGCATAAATATATAGAAACATTATTTTAGAGCCTTTTCTATTTTTATGGAAGGATATATTATTAGTTTTTTGATCCATCCTCCCCAAAATGGATGGAAATCACTTTTGTCAGTTTATAATGATCTTCTGAATTTTTGTTTTAAGGACACATACTAGAGCAGTATGCAAATGTATTACATTTTTTTCAGCCATTCTTCAGTGTGTGGGCATTTCACTTGTTTCTAATATTTTACAATTATAACTCCCCACACATACAACAAATAACTCTTTAGATTTATTTTCATAAAGTTTAAAGTATTTCCTTGGGGTTCATGCTTAAAAAATAAACAAGAGCCAGAATCCAGGCATGGTAGTGCACATGCCTGATCCCAGTACCCAGGAGGAAGAGGCACAAAGATCTCTGAGTTGGAGGCCAGCATTGTTTACATAGTGAGTTCTAGGTTAGCCAGGATTGCACAGTGAGACAATGCAAAATACAGTACAACGAAGTAAAATAAAGTCAGGCATGGAAGTAGCACATGCTTATAATGGATTACTCAGGAGTTGGAATCAGGAAAACCATGCATCAAGACCAACCTGGGCTATATAGAAATATCTTTTCATAGGTGAAGCATTCCAGAAATGTCTACTGAAAGAATCAAGAAACAGTGATACTTGGGCATCAGTGAGCACAACTGGAAAGGAACCAGAGTGGCCTGGAGAAAGGCTTCATCCCAGTTGCGAGGGAAGGAAATAGGAGGGAATCCTGAAACATTTCCTTGTGCCAGAAAACAAGGAAGTGTCTAAAACAAATTAGGCAAATGTTACAAACACAGGGGCAGATGCAAAGAGGATCTTTTTGGCTAAATCTAGGGCATTTTGAGCACTAATAAAAGATCAGGACAGCTGAAGAGAGAGCTCAGGGGGTAAGAGCACTTGCTGTATAAGTATAATGGCCTGAGTTCAAATCTCTAGTACCCATGTACAAAGCCAAGTACAGTGATGGTGTCTATAACCCTGGTGCTAGGGAGGGGAGATACAGCAGGGCCTTGCTGACACCAGCCTATCTTAATGAGGGACCCTGTCACAATCGAATAAGGCAGAGAGTGATAGAGCAAGATGCGGACGTCGTCTCCTGACCTCTACAAGCACAAGCGTCTGCACATACACACACACACACATTTAAAAATAAACCAGGAGGGCAATGGGCAACTAAGAGTTCATGAATCTAGTTATTTTTCTGTTGCTGTGATAAAACACTATGACCATGCGGGCTAGTTTTATGTCAACTTGACACAAGCTACAGTTAATTTAAATGAAGGAACTTCAATTGAAAAAAATACACCCATAAAATCTGACTGTAGGATACTTTCTTAATTAGTGATTGATGGGGAAGGACCCAGCCCCTTGTGCCATCCTTGGTCCTCAGGTTCTAAAGAAAGCAAGCTGGGCACACCATGGAGAGCAAGCTAATAAGCATGCCCCTCCATGGCTTCTGCATAAGCTCAGGCCTCCAGGTTCCTGTCCTGTTTGTTCATTATTGTCTTCAATAAGGAACAGCAGTATAGAGGTGTAAGCCAAATAAACCCTTTCCTCCCCAACTTACTTTTTGGTCCTGATGTTTCATCATAGCAATAGAAACCATAAGACAATGACCAAGGCAACTTATGGAAGGAAGGATTTATTTTGGGCTTCATTTATAGAGGGATAAAAGTCCATTACCATCTAGGCTGGGAAGCATGGTAGCAGGCAGGCAGGGTGCTAGAACCAGCTAAGAGTTCACATCTCCAACTGCAAGCCACAAGAAAAATCTCAAAACCTGCCTTCAATGACATGATTCCTCCAGCAAGGAAGTCTACTGAAACAGTGCCATCAACTGAAGAACAAATGCCCAAGATTATTGGGAGACATCTCTTTCAAACTATTTTAGGGATACTCAATGTATAAAAGTGTGTGCATTTGTGTATATATATATAGAGAACTGCTAACTGCGAAATGTAAAATAAATTAGAGCATTGTTTTAAATTTTCCATTTAAAATAATTAATGTAAAAATAATTCAGACAAGAATACCAGTCTATGCTGAAATCATTAGGAGAAAAGTCCTTGGGCAACAGTTGAAGACACACTATATACCTAGTTATTTACTGAAGCTTTTTTGTAATGTCCAGTCTCATAGTATTTACCCATAGATGACTTAACTAAAAGGGAAAACAGGTTTCACAAAAGTAAGGAGCTGATCATAATAATCCCCAGGTAGAGACTGTGGGTCTGGTCAGTAAGAGACTGGCAGTGTGGAGAAGTAGATTTGGGCAAGAGAAGACAGGGGGTGGTGAATGGGTGAAGGTGTCTAGTGGTCAGGGAGCACGGAGGGATGGTGTCTGTAGGATGCTGACCACACTGGAAGTTCGGCCAGAGTGAGAGCATTTTTTAAAGTGTTTGTTGCATTTTGCTTTTCCTTCAAATTTGTCTGCTACCTTTATAGCTGCCAAGGCATTCTGCACCACCATGGAGCCTGACTTTACTGCAAATGTTTGCTGTCAGATTATGTATAACTTTAGACTGCCTTTGCAACTTTGGGGGCGATGTTGCTATGAGTCGTTGAGCCAGTTACACATTACGAGGAACCTCTAGCTTACTTTGATCTAAATTTGCCCAATTTTAAGATCTAGTCTTGCTTAGCATACATATACAAAAGTGCAAGGAATCCTTTTTCAAAATATGACCTTACTTTTAAAATGATGCCTGGAGGGTAATATAGAGCACTTTTTTGTCCAAATGTTGCTAGCATATATTAGAACAAACAATGATGGTTTATGTATTTCTGTCGTTAGATGATGCTTTTAAATTCTGTGAGAGTATTCGGGGGTGCTGTTTATTTGGGTGTGTTTTCTATTGAAAACGATGCAGTATATAGTCTGTCACTGTCTTCACAGTCTGGGGGTGGGCCAAGGTACAGAGGGTGTGACGCTGGTATTTGTGTGAACTCCAGCTGGTGATGCTGAGCTTGGTTCATCAGCTTTCCCCTCCCTTTTCCTCCCCAGTCCTTCCCACCAGCGCCACAGCAACATCCTCAGAGTGTGAGAGAACTGCGCCCAGAGCGGGCATAAAGCCTCTTACTGCCAGCAACCTGCGGCCCGGAGCGGACCGCAAGAGCAGACACTGCACCTCGGCTCCACCAGCCCACGGACAGCCATGGCGAAAAGCCGCAGGGACAGAAACAGCTGGGGTGAGTAGCAGTGGGTAACTTATGCAGCCTTCACTGGGTCTGGTCCTGTGTTTTCTGCCGCTAGATTCCAGCCTCTGCAGTCGGAGACTGCTCGCGGCTCCCAAGAATCGCGCTGTCACCGGTGCTGAGCCTGGTGCAGGCTGGGCCTGCGGCTCCTTCCCCACCCTGCGCCGCCTCCTCCCAGCATTTGGACAGCACCCATCCAGCGCCTCCAGGGACTCTGGCCTCCGCGCTAGGGATGGGTTGGAAGATTGGCACAAGAGGTGGTCTAGGTTTGTGTTGGCCGTTGAAGAGGGGCGCAGGGTCGATCTGGATCAGGCGGAGCCCCAATCCTCTTTCTGGGGCAAGGGCTTACTTGGATGCTGGCGGGCCCTGGGCGGGCGGTGGAACAATGAGGTGGAGCGCGCCGGCTAGGACACTGCGCCAGCCTGGGAGATGGGGTACCCTCCTGAGAATCCCCCGCCCTGCACACTTCCTCCAATTTAGGGTTAGTGGAGGAGCAGGGAAGAAGGCGAGCAGAGTTGGGGTTCCTAGCCTGCCAGCCGACTCGGACCTTCCGCCTTTATTCGGACTAGCTTCAAGCCTGGCTTTGTTCTTCGATTTTTTACCTTGTGGAGGAGATACTGGGTTCATGATTCAGCACCGGGCCTATGGAAGGGCTGGGCCCAGTGGGTTCAAGTGCGAGTGGGTGGGCGGTGCTCACGCAGGCAGATAGGAGCACAGCGCAGCGATGCAGGAGAAACCGCGCCCCGCCTGCTCTGCTGTTCCAGACCAGATCTGGAGGAGTGTGGGCAGGCTGGGCGGCCTTGTCGGATTGGGCTCCAGATTTCTTGCAGGCTCAGGGCTTACTTAGCTCATCAGCATCTTAACCCCCTATAAACACAATTTATGATCAGAACCATTTTACGATCTCTAACCACAGATAGGTGGTGCATAGAGAAACATTGTGTTCAACTGGCTTCTCCTTGTTATTGTTTTGAAAGTTCACGCCCACTAGGAGTTCAGTGCTCCTTGGCTCTCCGTCTCTGAGTTCTCTTTCTATTTTACTAAGAGGATAGGTGTACCTTTTAGTTGGTTATTTCTGTTTCCTTTTGTCAAAAGAGTATATTGCTTCCTTGACTTTAAGTGATGCGGTGGTCACAAGATCAGCCTCTGCTGTGGGCAAGGCTTACATTTGAGAGAATATCCCAGACTCATGGTTGTTGTAGAGACGAGGAGTAGGCAGGCAGTAGTCAGAAGCAATTTCATGCTCCCCACCCCCCAGCCAATCACCAAGCCCAGACTTCAGTATTGCAGACACAGTCTCTGCTTCCATTGAAAACCTTCCGTGTCCCTTTCCATTCCTGTGCTCCCAATGGAATAGGAATTTGAACACTCTTGACCGAATATTCACAGAAGATGCAAATATTCAACTCAGATTTCAGCCTTGGTCTCTGGACTAGATTGTTGGTTCCACCCAGCAAGGAGCCAGGTATGCGGAAATTTTGTCTGATAATTAAAGGTTTTCTTTTTTTTTATTATGTTTTGGCTCATTATTTTTTAGTATTTGGTTACAAATATCTCTGGTAGTGGGGCCTCCCCTTCCCCTCTTGGGTATGCTAGTCTCAAATGGGACTTATACAAGATCACATTGGAAACTTATTGGAAATGAAGGTTCCCATAGTATCCAGCTAGGGGTTTTGAGTCAACGGGTATAGAGTAGGGTCTAGAATTTATCTTTTCCTTAGTACTGTAGGTTGTTGAGCACAGTGTCCATGAGGTTACTTTGAGAAACAGTCTCTTAGATCATTTAAGTTTGATAATCTTCTTCCAAACAGTTCACTCCAAAGTCATCAGGAGAGTATCAGCATAAGTGATAAGTTAGGGGGACATGCTATAGTCATTATATGTCTATTGGAAACTTTCATTGAAAACAAACACTGGAATTGTAGAGTGCAACTTCAGTGTTCTGTGGGGATGCTTCACTACTTAAGTTTTTACTTGCTGTGAAGTATCTGTAAAATAAATTATTTAGGAAAGGCAGTCATAAGAAGTAGAAGTTTTAATGACGATGTTAACCTTTCCCACCTTAATTCTATTTTATTCCCAGTGCCTGGTATAATACTATGTGCCTGGCAGCTGTACATGACTACATTTCCAATGCAAATCCATCTAAATTATCCCATTTGGTCTTTAGAATTTTTAATCATGTCTTTCCTTATCTATTTTGCAGATGGAAAAAAATGGAAGTCAATGGTGGAATAAATGACTTAGCTAAAGTCTTATATTTTGTACGTTAGAGAACTATGGTTAGTAAGTTTTCTTCTGATTGACTTTTTGTAGCATGATAGCATGGAGTATGTGGATAATATGGAAACCGGTTTCTCGTAAGAAGCCACAGGTTTTTCTGGTGAGAAGATAGTCTGTTGGTGCTTAAGGAAGAACAGTGTGTGGCCCTTTCACCTAGCAGTCATCAGAGACAGAAAGAGAACAAAATGAATCAAGTAGATAACCCAGACTCAGAAAATTATTTTCAAGTAATGAACAAAAAAGGCATTTTCAAATCTGTGTGTAAAAGCTTGGGATCTTGTAGAACTCTGAGATAAGGATTTTTATCCCTGAGGGGACAGTGCCTTTTTGCAGTGATCAGGGAGGCTAGAGAGCAGAAAAGCTTATGCTGGCTGTCAGAGTTGGAGGTGGCGTTGAGGGTCATACTCAGAGACACCACTGGGAAACAGGTGTATGGACACAACTGAGAATCTACCATCTGAACCCGGATCTGCATGAAGGAAGTTTGAGTATATGGAAGCACTTAAGACTCAACTTTTTAAGGGTAGGCATTATTAGTGTTGTTTTCATGATTGGGAAATCTGAGATTAGAGAGTCTAAGGAACTTTCCAGAAGTGCCAGAGTTTCTGTGTTCTAGAGCTAGAATTTTGGTTGTTTCCACAGTCTGTGTCCTGAGGACTAGAAGCTAGAACAAATGCCAAAAGCTGTGACAACAAGCTTACTAGGACTAAGCTGGTAGAAGAGATCAGTGCTCTATAAACTCAGTCACCTTGGACTGGAAAAGTAGATAGTGTTCTGGTGTGGACGGGAAAGGGGACAGATGCGTATCAGAAATAGTAGCCCAGAAAGCAGTCTTTCAGTGCAGGCTGGAGCTACAGCTACAGAAACAGAGAACAGTGTATACCTTTTTGTTTGTTTATTTCTGTTCATTTAACTTTCTCCAAAACTTGAGATGGAATGTAGGAATTTAGTTTTCTACAGTTTGACAAAAACTGACAGTACAATACTGCCTTATAAAAATGTTTGAAATAAAGTGTTAAATTGGGCTATCTTGAAACAAAACCCATCTTACTGCACAGTAAGAATAAGAAATTTTCTATTGGTAGAAAAGGCATTTGTGGAAATTTTAGGTTAGGAAGCTTTAGGTTTCTTGTTTTTAAGGGGAGATTGACAACAGTCAGAATATAATATAGGTATAAGCAGAATTATGGTGAATGGGTTAATATTGAAGAAGAAAAATGTGGAAGTTACCATTTAATAAGTTTGGTATGTGCATACTTGAAACTTGGGAATAAGAGAAACTGAGATTTGAAAAATAAAGAATGAATATGAGTCATCAGACCTGAGGTCCCACTAGTACAACCAATAATGAACATTGTATGAAGTAGGGAAAAGAAGTAAAGTTAGAATTTGAAGTAAACCAGAGAAAATAAAAGTAAAGAAGTACTGTGCAGCCAAGCACAGTGGTATGCTCCTTTGATCCCAGTACTCAGGGAAACAGAGGTAGGTGAATCTGTGAGTTCAAGGCCAGCCTGGACTATAAAGCGAGTCCAGGACAGCTAAGGCTACACAAAGAAACCCAGTCTCCAAAAACCAACCAGCCAACAAGGAGGAGGAGCAAGAGGAGGAGGAGAAAAAGTAATAGAAGTAGTTTTAGTACAATGCAACCAAAAAGCACAATGTTTCTGGAGTCTTAGACCAAAGTCCATGTTCAGACTCAAGTCTAGATTTTGATGTAGAAGAGCTTTCAAAGTTGTGATGTCAGTCCACTCCCAGGTTTTAGAGCCAAGATTAACTTAGAGGACACAGCTACTTCCTCCCATGTCTATGCAGGCATGTCATGTTGGGATTGAGGAAAACCCTGACCCCAGCTTGCTATCTTGGAGCATGTGAGCGAGTTTGTACAACAGAAAGAGATTCCATATCTTGATCCTACTCTCTTCCTGGCTACTGAAGCATGAAGCTGACTTTCTGGTACCTGCCGTAGAGCTGAGCTATTGTTTATGGCCAATATTGCTTATTGATTCCTCTTTAAAAAGTGACTGTGCCTAGCTATATTTGTCATTTTTCTTGTCTTTGTGACAAACTACTTGAGAAAAATAGCTTGAAGAAAAAAGGGTTTATTTGGGCTTATGGTTTAGGAGGGAAAGTAACAAGAAGCAGGAAAAGCAGACAGAAAATAGGGCCTGGCTCCAAAACCTCATGGTCTACTCCCATTGACCCACTTCCTTCAGCAAGCCTCCAGCTCCTAAAAGCTCCACAACATTGTCTCACACTATTGAAGAGTTTAAGTTAGCCTGGGTATAGTTAGCCTAAGTATAACTCAATTTTAATAAAGAGCCATCTTGACTGGGAGCTGAATTCAGGTACCAGGAAATATCACAAAATGTGTACCTGGCAGAAAACAAAGTTAACTCTCCTAGCAACAGCCTCAAGGAAATATCACAGAATAAATACTTCATAGAAAATAGAGACAATCTCCCTGGCAATAATCAATGAGAATCAGTTGTGAATCAGCTGGGAAAATTTTCCCCAACGTTTCAGATATAGTTTAGAAGAATAGCCATTGTGCCTCAGAGAAGCATAGGCCTTAGACAATTGTGCCTCAGAGAAGGTCATCTTGCCCCCCCCCCAACTTTTACCTAATCCTGTAAAGTCAAGACATGCCCCCCCTGCCCTGTTTGCTGCCATGGAAACCCCCTGCTCACAGACTTTTCCTTTAAAAATCCTGC